AGCGTAGTCTTGGCAAATTTCCAGTGTCAAGACGGACAACCCAACGGCATTTCGCTTTGAGTATGTATTGGAACTTAACCCGCCCAGAGGAGATGGGGACATTATGTGATTGTGCATTATGTGACTGTTCGGCAGACGATCTCGCATGTCACCATGTTCGGCTTAAGCAGCCATGGAACTGCATCAAGAGGCAACGTGGTGTATGCACCCAGAAGTAGCATTCAGGCCTCTCGTCTGCCGTTGGAGCCCTCAAAGCTGTAGCAGCTGCCGCATACCCAATACCTCATTGGGCTGATCATCGCGCCAAAGCTCTTCATAGCGACTCTAGCGTGACTACCACATCATCCAGTGATTCTCTCAGAGACCCATCACCCTCGTCAACCTGGTCCCTCAAGTGACGCGCAATCTCGACAATGGCAGCCGTCGAGTGAACGTAGCGCTTCTGCATACCCTCATGCGCGTTCGTCAGCAGCGAAGTGGCCAGTTGCAACACTGCCGCCTGCATCTCCTGGTCCACGAGCGGCTGCGGTCCATCAGGAGGCGCCCACGCTGCGATCGCCGTGACTAGGCCCATCCAGTCTTCCTCCGTGCCGTTTTCTTCCGCCTCGGAAAAGGGGAGCAGAATGCGTACGATCTCCATGCCACGAGACGATTCTCGGTCGTCTCGCGCAGAAGGTACGCCCTGCAAGATCTTGACGAGATCGTGGCTGAGAATCTTCCACCCGCCGTTCGCCCCAAAGGCGTCGACGCCCTTGTTCTCGAAAACGACACCCTCCAGGGCGACGAGGATGGGAGATCGAAAGTCGAGCCTCTCGGGGGCGCTGGCCTGGTAGAGGTCCATGAACATGTCCGTCAGGCCGGCAGCCTCTTTGCGCAGAAGTTTGTTGTCGTCTTCGCGGAGCCAGATGGCGAGGGCACGGATTTCTGCGAGGATGAGCGGATCGTTGTCCATGACGTCCTTGGAAGAATCCCAGGTGATGGGCAGTGTGTCTTGCCACTGGTCCGGAGCGTTCGGGCGAGCATCGGGATGCAGACCCATTGCGCCGGCAACGGAAGCATCATACCGATCGCGGAGGAACTCGATGGCCAGAGACATGGTTTCGGAGATACTTGTGCGCAGTTTGAGCAGGTACTCCGCCGGCATAAGAGATGAATCGTCTTCGCCGTCGGCCGTGGCATCCATGGCTCTGATCAGATAGCCAACGAAGTGGGTGATGATATCAAAGGCGGATCCTAGTCTTTTGGCAGTGTCCGGATAGCTGGGATCGTTGAGGAGCGAGAGAAGTCGAGGTGTTACTGCTCGGATTTCTGTGAGCACGAGAGTGATAAAGAGGTAGGCGAAGGGTCGGTCCGCCTTGATATCATTTGTGAAAAGGAGGCGTGACGCCTCAGTAGGGTACACCTCAAGCAGCGAGGCAGAGACTAGCGTATATGAATTCCTGGCCTCAGGATTCGGTTTGTTTGTGAGTAGATCTCGGGTATAATTCACAATCGGCTTAATCCAAGTAGGATTGAGCGGAAGGCCCTGTAGAATGTCAACCACTTGCACCTTGAAGCAGCATTTGGTCTGACTCACTTCGGGATGAGACCTCCTGAGGAAGTTGCCCAGGAAGCGCAGAAGAGTCACGCCATCAGTACCCTTGAATGATGATACGAGACCCTTGATACTTTCATCGATGAATGGCCGTAAAGATGTTCGGTCCGTACTCCCTGCCATGCAATTGATCCACGCCAAGTCAAAGACTTCGAGAGCCAGTGGCTGACTGGGGGCAATCTCGATCAAGGGGCTGGGGTCTTCTATGGCTATGAATGACTTGGCGCCTTCTGAGAAGGGCACGAGCTCGAGCAGAGTCTGGATAATGAGCTGCGTCGTTTCCTCGGAACTGTTCAGCATTGCATGTCAGTAGATGCGCCATGTGTGTCTAGACCGCTGCCTTTACCTGCGCAAAACGGTAGCAACCAGGACCGGTATCCTGCCGACCAGTTTTTTGTCTCGCTTCGATTCTTCAGGGAGCAGCTGTGTAAATTTGTGAATGACCAGCACGCCCAGGTCGAGCGTGGACTGCTGGTCATTCTGACCACCCTTTGACTTGAGGAGACGATCAAGGAACTTAGGGGATATTGCGTCCCATAGTGATAAGATAACTGCTTCGTCGTCTTTGAGTTCTGAGGAAGAGTCAAGAAATGATCTGAGCATCGTCAACCCCACGAATCTTGAAGTATCATCCTTTCGCTTCAATGATGCCCTGATGTTATCCAAAATTGAAACATTTGTGTTGGTGCTGGACTGGGGTGTTTGGGGGTCCACCGGCCCTTTGGCGTCCATAGACGCTTCTGTCATCTCTATTGACACCAACCCACACTTAATACAGAATGATTCGAGTGTCAATAGGGGTTTCTTCCTCGCCAAATGCTGTAGACTTGAAAGACGCTTCGTGATGAACTATGCGATGAGGCTTCCTGAGGCGTCGCCGAGTCAGAAAAGAGGCTAGCGCCGGCATTGGGTACAAGCGCCACAAATGTGGCTCGAGCTTGACCCCCTGTGGATGCAACACTGCCTACTGTCTCGTCATCAAGCACTTGCATCAAGGCCGCCGCGATCCTCGATTGCGACAGGCACCACAATCTTGGATCAATGCCGCCAGCCTCGAAACATGGCTGGCCCGTACGGAAACAACACAGCCGCCTCATCATCCTCGCACTCTCCCGATCGAACCGCTCAACCACACTCGAATCCAGACGATAGCGACGAGTTGGACGACCTGCTCGACGACGGCAATGATGACGACCGCGATGTCCTGGCGCAGGACCCGATTCGAGGAAGCTTAGAGGGGCCGATATCGTTCAAGAGAAAACAGAAGCAGGGTATATTCTCTGCGCCCGCGCGCTTCCTGTCCTCCCTGGCAGGACGACCAGGGAACGATACGGCCAATTCAACGCCGAGGTCAACGACCCCCCGACCAAGCTTCATGCTTGACGGCTTTGCCTCGACTGGCGCAGACGAGGATATCAGAGAGGCTTTTAATCGACCTGCGAAAGATGCCTCACCCAACCGACTGGTATCACGAGGGCCCGGGGCGGAGAGTTGGCTACGAAAGACATGACGGCGATCGACTGGATCTTTGAATACACCAAGGAGCGCCAGCGCTTGCGCGTGCTTCACTCGAGCGCCCACGGTCTCATGGGGCTCTTCCGGAGATTTGCAGACGCGAGCCAGGTTTGGCTCATCTTGATCCTCACCGGTCTAGCCGTGGGCACTGTCGCTGCGGGCATCGACGTCACCACGGATTGGCTAGGTGATCTCAAGACAGGCTATTGCTCCAGCGGCCCCGAAGGCGGAGCGTTCCATCTCAACAAGGCGTTCTGCTGCTGGGGGTATGATGAGTCCTCAAAATGCGCCGGTTGGATTCCCTGGGCCAATGCGTTTGGCGTGGCGTCCAAGGGCGGGGCTTGGATCATAGAGTACATTGTGTTTCTCATCTTTTCAGTCCGTGACTCTTTGCGTAGATCATGTGGCCCTTCTCCGACTAACTTGCGCACAGGTGTTTCTTGCCTTTTCAGCGGCAGTTCTGGTTCAGGAGTATGGTATTTATGCTAAGCATAGCGGTATACCCGAGATCAAGACGGTTCTGGGCGGCTTCGTTATTCGCAGGTTCCTGGGTGGGTGGACTTTAGTGACGAAATCTTTGGGCTTGGTTCGTCTTCACTATGCTGCTACCTCTTCGCCTCAGACTAACAGCTGTGAAGTGTCTTGCCGTAGCCTCTGGGATGTGGCTGGGCAAGGAAGGCCCCCTGGTCCACGTTGCTTGCTGTTGCGCGAACCTGTTTATCAAGCTGTTCAGCAACATTAACGACAACGAGGGTAGGTCACGATTACTTCCTTGGAACGGCACTTCCTGACATGTGTATATTTCAGCTCGAAAACGAGAAGTTCTCTCTGCCGCTGCGGCATCTGGGATCTCGGTTGCGTTTGGTTCGCCCATCGGTGGCGTGTTGTTCTGTCTCGAGGTAAGCCATCTCCAATCTGACACGTCCGTCGACGGACATGGGTACTGACGACGGATAGCAAATATCCTACTACTTTCCGGATAAGACGATGTGGCAGAGCTTTGTCTGCGCCATGACTGCCGCTGTCATGCTACAGGCTCTCGACCCCTTCCGCACTGGAAAGCTCGTCTTGTACGAGGCTGAGGTCAGCACAGAGTGGACGGATTTCGAAATCATCCCTTATGCCATCCTCGGTATCATTGGCGTACGTCCTTGGACAATGCCTCGAACCAAATTCTTTTGCTGACATTCTCAGGGGATCTACGGCGGCCTTTTCATCAAGGCTAACATGGCCGTGGCCCGTTGGAAGAAGAGATCGACATGGCTCCCCGGACCCATTGTTCAGGTTATTGCCGTTGCGCTTCTCACAGCCCTGGTCAACTTTCCCAATTTCTACATGAAGATCCAGTCTTCTGAACTAGTGTCTAACCTCTTCGTCGAATGTGGCAAGCACTCCGAAGACAAGATAGGCCTCTGCAAGACAGGTGCGGCCTCTGCCAGCACCATTGTCCTGCTCCTCTTCGCTGCTATTCTTGGCTTCCTTCTCGCGGCGATCACATTCGGTCTGCAACTTCCTGCCGGCATCATCTTGCCCTCAATGGCCATTGGTGCCCTGACCGGCCGGGCTGTGGGCATTATCATGGAGATCTGGGTCAAGAACCACCCCAAGTTCTTTGCCTTTGGTTCCTGTGCACCCGACATACCTTGTATCACGCCAGCGACATACGCCGTGGTTGGCGCGGCGGCTACCCTCGCAGGCGTCACCCGAATGACCGTGTCCATTGTCGTCATCATGTTCGAGCTCACTGGCGCCTTGACATATGTCCTGCCGATGATGGTGGCCGTCATGATCTCAAAGTGGGTAGGTGACGCGTTCTCTCGCCGCGGCATCTACGAGTCCTGGATTCACTTCAACGAATACCCCTTTCTCGACAACTCGGACGCCGAGACGGCGCAGATTCCCGACATTCCCGCCGCACAGGTCATCACCCGCATCGAAGACCTCGTCGTCCTCACGGCGACCGGCCACACTATTGCATCGCTGACGGCCATTCTCGACGCCAACCCGCACCGCGGCTTCCCCGTCATCTCCGACCCCCGCGAGGCCATCCTCCTCGGTTACATCTCCCGCGCCGAACTCTCCTACAACCTCCGCTCCTCGGCCCAGCCCCCTCGCTCCCTGCCGCCCGAGACGGAGGCGTTCTTCACCCACCAGCCCATGGCCGACCCGAGCGCCACGCTCGATCTCCGGCCCTGGATGGACCAGACGCCCATCACCCTGCCGTCGCGCGCGAACCTGCACCTCGTCGTGTCGTACTTTCAAAAGCTGGGGCTGCGCTACGTCCTGTTCGCCGACAGAGGCGTGCTGCAGGGTCTGCTGACCAAGAAGGACGTGTGGTACGTCCTCAACGGGGCGGACGAGACGAGGCGCACGGCGGGGACGTCTGGCCGGGACGGCACCGTGGAGACTGGGATCACCAGGGAGGACGGCGACGGCGAGGCCGAGGGCTTGTTGCGAGAGCGGAGTGGGAGCGAAGCCATGAGTCCTGCGCATGAGCGGGGGCCCATGCTGTGATGATCATTGTGTGTTACATCTGATAGACGGTACTCGTGTCACGAGCAATATGATTTTTCTGCCTCGCGTTATGTGTTGCTCATTTTCCTGCCCATTTTCGCCGTCAACTGGTGATCACTGCGGTTCAGGAGCTGTTTAATTCACCATTTGCTTGTAAGATCGAGGGAGACGTGTAGCGAGCATTCATCGTCGGACTGCGCCAAGCGTCGCAGTAATTGATTCTTTTCGGAAACGGCTACGAGGTTGGTGTGGCAACAAGACGACGAGAAAGGGGGCGCTGCCGTTCCCCATAATTGGATTCACAATATCCACCAAACTCATGAGATAGTTGCCAGAGAAGAAAATCGAACAATCCTCACACCAGTTGACAGTGATATTCTCATAAAAACGCCTCGCGCCTAGACCTCCAGCAATGCAGCCGCCTCCCGTCATGTGGATAGATATGGCAAAACAGTAGCAATACCCTGTAGCGTCTCCCTTACACCTCCCGCATCATCTCTCCCATCTTCCACAGGCGATTCCCCTTTCACACTCATCGGTTAGTACTCAAAGTCATCGTCGACAGCTGGTCCCTTGCTCTTGGTCACAGACTCCTGCTTGCGGTACATCTCGGCAACTTGACGGCTGCTCGTCGCCTCGTCCGGCTTCTTGTCGTCGCGAATCTTGATGAAACGCGGGAAGCGGAGCGAGATGCCCTTCTCGCCCGACGGATCGACGCCTTCCTTGGCGCCGGCCTTGTAGCGCGGGCTGAGCGTCAGATCCGCCGTCTTGACCTCCCAGACACAGCGGGGCTCGAACCAAACATCAGGCTGGTGCTGGCCGCCGGCCGAGTGGGAGTAAAACGGCTTCGGGCGGTCAATGACAATTTCGGACAGCTGCTTGTGAAGCTCCTCGAGCACGGCCTCGGAGAAGCCGGTGCCGATGTTGCAGACCGTTTCGTAGACCTCGCCTGACGGGTTGTAACAGGCGAGGAGGAAGGCGCCGTAGACGGACGTACGTTTGCCTTTGCCGTGGTACGCACCCAGAACAACGAGATCGAGCGAGTCGCCAATGCCGGCGAGATAGTCCTTCTTGATCTAGTGCGGGTCAGCGTTTCCGTCAAGACATGTGTACGGGGCAGGGGAGTGTGCTTACCTTGAGCCAGTTGCGACTCCTTTTGCTGGGCTCGTATCCGCTCTCTGTTCCGTCCAGCATCTTGACCATAAGACCCTCACAGGAAGCTTTGACACTCTCATCCAGGAACTCTTGGATCTGCTCGAGCTCCTGGCCATCCATAGACGTGGCGAGCGAGAACTCGCCCTCCACAGGTGCAAAGGCCTCGACCATCAGATCACGACGATGTCGAAGAGACTTCTCAACCAGAGCCTCGCCGTTGAGGTAGAGCAGATCAAACGCGAAAACGCACACCTTGACCTTGACATCCTCAATCTTGACGTCCTTCTTCTTCCGCGTCATCAACTGCTGGAACGGAAGAACCTTTTTCTCCACAACGTCCCAAGCAACAGTCTCGCAATCAAGAACGAAGCTCTTGGTGTCAGGCTTGACCCAAGTATGGAGCTTGGCGAGAATGTCGGGATACTTCTTGGACAGATCTTCTGAGTTCCTCGAGAAAATATTGGCCACGCCGTTGGCTGCCTCCTTCGTTGCGCCGGGCATGGACTCGCTGAGCTCCTCATCCGCGGACTTGGCGACATAGTGAATTTGAGCCCGCTCACCGTCGTACTTGTATTCGCAGGTAAATGTCTGGTTCTCGAAGCGATCCAGGACTTCCGTGATAGCTTTGGTGGGCTTGGCCAACATGGGCTTCAAAGGCACACCAGGCTTGAGTTTGCAGTGTTCGCGGAGGTTCATGATGCCGTGCTCAACCATGGCGGGGATGATCACATCGTAGCTGGGGAGCTCGCTAGGTTTTGGTCAGCGGTTGAAGTTGGGAAGAATCGGTCGAGGTTCTTACCTGTAAACCGTCTTGAGCATGGCCTCGGCCTTTTCGACATCCTCGGGGCTCGCAACAAGGTCCTTGGCGGAAGCTTCGTGGTTCACGACAGCCTGCGCCAGCGAGACCAGAACGGTCCTCTCAGCGAGGCCGAGACGAAGCTTGCCCTCGAGGAAGCGGATCAAGAACTTGGCCTCGCTCGGTCCACCCTTGTCCTTCGAGATATCCACCTTTCCACCCGCTGCGTCTGCGGAGGAAAGAAGCTTCTTGATTCCATCAACTTTGCGGCCTTGTGCGCCGTTGCCCGTCACCGTCGCGATACCCATGAGACCCTTGTGCACGCCCCGGACAGTGAGGGGCTTGGGCTTGAACATGGTAGGTTGAGTGGACCTGCTCTTCACGGCTACGAGACCAAGATCACCAATTTCCTTTTGGTCCTGTTTGATGATCTGAAGGGTACGACCTGTCGACTCGCCAATGGCCTTCATGATGAGAGATTCTCCGATGCCGAGTTCAATGCCCGCATAATCTGGCGCAAGTTTGTTGATCATGAGGAGGACTGTGGGGAGCAGGTCATCTGGTGTGAGACGCAAGACCTGACGGAGGAACTTTGAGCAATGCGCCATGATTTCCAGTCGCTTTGTTGTGAGCTCGACCAGGGAGAATGTCTTGCAGAGCGCGGCGTACGGTACGGGATCGCCCTTCTTCCAATCTGGATATGGGTCTTTCGTCTGGGCTGTCAGGTCTCCCAGCAACTGTGCGGCCGACTTACCGCCCTTTGCAGTCTTGCCTTTGCCTTTGGGCTTGAGGACCGTCTTGGCAGCGTCCCCAGCATCCTCAGCTTCAGAACCTGCGGAAGATTCGCCGTCCAGGTCATCCTCAGCCGAGCCCACAGACTCTACTTCAGAATCTTCTGACGCTTGTACCGGGGTCGGGGAGGCCTTGGCACGCTTGGGCGAAGGTGACCTGGACTTGGAAGCTCGCTTGCTCTTCTTGGGACTCGTCTTGGGGCTCGGTTTGGGGGCCGGCACTTCCTCCATGCCCTCGTCTTCGTCGTCCTCAATGCGATTGCGGTTCCGTCTCGCACGCTTCACAACCGGGGCGTCGTCTTCATCCGCAGAGACCTCTTCTGTTTTGACGGTCTTGTTGGAGGACTTGCCATCTTGGTCCTCGTCTGCATGCGCTCGCTTCTTCGAATCTGGACAGCAGCATCAGTCAGCCAAAACACAATCCTGAAGGGGTGTTACTGGGAGGAGAAGAGAGAACACGGACCTTTCTTAGGGCCATCCTCCCCCTTGACACCCGCAGACGCAGCGCCATTCTCCTTGTTAGCAACCTCGTCCTCCTCAGCCTTGACTTGCTTTTTGGGCGCTGGCCTCGCCGCGAAGCTCAGCTTGCTCTGCTGCGGCTTCGCCTTGGGCCCATCCTGGCCGCCAAAGAACTTTCTGCGCAACGTCGTCAGCAAACCCTGCCCACAACAGCTCCGACGCACCAGACAGTTTGGGGTTGGGAGGGGGGAGGGGCTGTGGCGGCGGCGGAGGGGAGAGGCCGTGTCTGTCTACACACCCCAGCGTTGTCTGCGAGGACTTGACGTACCCCAGCGTAGCTTGCTTCGGCGCCATGACGAGCGCTCTTCGGTTCGTGGCGGCGACGAGTGTGGAGAGGAAGAGAGGAGGCCGTCGGAAGAGCAGACGGTGCGCCACGGTGACGGCTTGCTTTTTAACGTGCCCGGAGCGTGGTCTAGGCAGCCAACGTGCAACTTGAGGGGACCACGCGAGGAGCAGGAGGGGAAGAGAAGCGCGGTAGCGGGCGGCGGTACCAAAGGTGGGATCAAATGTTCACTGCGGCGGCGGCGGCGGGAGGGAGGTAGGATCGTCTGGGTCGAGCATGACGCGCTTCCGACAGGCAGCATCGCGTTAATTGAGTTGGGTCCAGACGCGAACTGAGACCCTCTTAGCTGCATATCACCTCCAGGCACCTAAACTCCCCACCTAGATACCTAGAGTTACCTAACCTGGCTTGCCTGGGCCCTCTCAGCCCTGTGAGAGGTACGAGGTACTTTTTTCTTTTCTTTCCAAGATGGCTCGACTATGACTGGGTGCCTCAGGAACGACGGAAGTAGACATGGACGAATGGAGCATCTCACGCGACAGAAAGAAATTCATATTTGATAGCAGGATTCCGTCCCGTCTCAATCATGTTCAATTCGATCCGAATTGCCTTTAACTAGCAGGTAATATACAAACGGGAACAGGTTCGGTTCGGCCAGTACAACGATTAGGTGTCACGCCAAGGTCTGGCCCCCTCGGAGCAGGTTGCGGGGTTTTCTTTAGTTGAAGTAGAAGGCCTCGTCGGCGGTACGGCCACGGATGAACTGGGGCTCGGAGCCGCGGACGTAGATGTCCTCGAAGAGGATCTTGGGGGTGGCCTCGGGAACGGCCATGGCCTCGGCGATGGCGACCTCCTCGTTGACGTGGCTGCGGGCCTCCTTGTCAATGGCCTTGAGCTCGTCCTCGGTGACGACGCCCCAGTCGAGAATCTTCTGCTTGAGGCCGGCGATGGGGTCGTTGGTCGACCTCATGCGCTGGATCTCCTCACGGGTACGGTACGTGGTACCGGGGTCGGACATGCTGTGGCCACCGTAGCGGTAGGTGACGTACTCGAGAACCAGAGGGCCGTTCTCGGCCTGGGTGTACTCCTTGCCGTACTTGACAGCGGCGCGGACAGCGAGGGCGTCCATGCCGTTGACCTTGAGACCGGGGATGTACTGGCCACGCTTGTAGTAGTCCGTGAGAGCCGACGAACGGTTGGCGGCAGTGCCCATGCCGTACTTGTTGTCTGCGGAATTGTCACCCGTCATTGCTCTTTGGAGCCTTCAGAAGAATGGGAGAAACAAGATGCAACGTACTCTCGCAGCCGAACAGGGCGGGAAGGTTCCACAGCTTGGCCATGTTGAAGGCCTCAAAGACCTGGCCCTGGTTGCTGGCGCCGTCACCATACAGGATGACACTGGCGTTCTTGCGACCGTTGTACTTGTGGGCGAAAGCGAGACCGGCACCGACGGGGACCTGGGCACCGACAATGCCGTTGCCGCCGTAGAAGTTCTTGGCGAACATGTGCATGGAACCGCCCTTGCCGTACGCAATGCCCTCACGGCGGCCGAGAAGCTCGCCAATGATGGAGCGGACGGTGCCACCGCGCATGTAGGCGAAGCCGTGGCATCGGTAGGCTGTGATGATGTCGTCCTCCTTGGTCAGGGCGTGCTCAATGCCAATGGCAACGGCCTCCTGTCCGGTGGACAGATGGCAGAAACCGCGAATCTTCTTCTCCTTGTACAGGCGATCGGCGGCCATCTCGAGTTGTCTGTTGGGGGGAATCTCCTGTCAGTCACTTGACGCCCCAGGCAGAGAGCGTCGACCCATTGGCCGCTGGTGCGATAGGCCTCACCTGACGGTAACCATGTCCTGGTACATCTGCTTCAGCTCCTTCTTGGTGACCTCGAGGGTGTATGGCGGGGGGTCGAGCTCGTACGTCTCGAAGCTCTCATCGCTCAGCTGGATGGAGAAAGCCTCATCATCGGACTGCGGAATCCCAAGTCAGTTTTCACGCTCTGCCGCATCAATTCCGTCACGTCCGGAGTCTCACCTCGGGGACGCCCTTCTGCAATGTCGCAGAGGCGGCATCGGTGGTGACGAACCGAGAGGCAGCGACAGAAGGCGCCGGGGCGCGGGCGCGCAGCGGCACCGCACGGTTTAGCCTGAGCGCACGGGAGAACATCGTGTGCGATGAGATGAGCCTCCTGTGATGCTGGAAAAGGAGATTCGGGGTGGTCGCGGTCACGGAGGAGGAGGGGGGGGGAGGTGGTCGAGATGGATGGAGATTGGAGACTCAAATTATTATCGCTCGCTGTGTCAAGCTCCGAAAAATCGCGGTGTTGGGAAGGGAGCTGGTTGTTGAAGGAGGCTAGGCTCTGTCTGGTTAGCGGACCCGTTATCTGTTGCTCCGCCCAACGGGATTATTGGGAAACAGGCTCCGAGTGGTGGGCGCCGCCACACATCTCAGCATCTCCAGCCACAGCTGCTGCCTCCCGACCTCGCCCGAGAGGAGCCACTCAGCCCTGCTTCGGGTTGATTGCGGACGGGGGACGCACTTGTCTTCATGCGACCGACTATGTACCAACATCCTCAACATCAGCATCATCTACTGCACAGTGGCCGGGTTCTGATAATTGTCTAGATTCGGGTATCGCGAGTATGCGCTGCAGACCATGTCCCAAACGCAGTCAGAAGTAGAAGAAGCAAGAGAGAGAAAAACTACCTGGTGGCTCAATGATAAATAGCAACTCTTGGCCTCTGGAGTCGCACCCTGTTCTCTTCGCCCCTTGGCCACCCCGACCCCCGGGGTTCGTTCAGTGAACCACGCAGACGCCCAGCCAACCGATGCTGTCTGACCATGACCCTGATCGCGGGATGCTGATAAGTGATCCTCCAACGCCATAACATGCCATATCGTGGCTCCTGGCCCTTGATGTTCCTTTGTGCGATATTCCCTAATGTTTCCCTGATATCCCCCTAGCCCGTTGATGCCACGTACCTCACCGCGAGTCCATCTACTTGATTGGCTTTGTCGTATGTCACTCCTCCGCCGTACCTCCCATTATGTTAAGGCTGTCGCCGTCGAAGCATCTGCTCGCCGTCGAAGCATCTGCGTCTCTCTGGCGTCGAGCATCTCAGTCATCGTGAAAGAATGTGAGATTGCCGCTTTGCGCGGGCGCCGTCGACGGGCCGGCATCCCCCATGTCAATGTCCGACCCGCCCGGAGTGTCACGCGGTGGGCCGACGATGGATGCCTGTGATTGCGTGCTCCTGAGATCGAGCTGCAACGCATTCGACGACCTTCGTGAAGCTTCCGAGGCAGCTCTCTGTTGAAGAGACAACGGCCGGTCGTACGAACTGGCCTCCTCGGCAGGCGGCGAGAAGGACCAGACCTGAAGCAACAGTCAGCATACATTCAGTGGGGCAAACAGCCATGATCACAACGAACGTACCTCCATGATTGTTCTTCCATGGCGCAGTGCCAGAGCGACGCACTTCTCGTCTTCAAACGCGACCCTCCAGACCGCCTCGCCCTGCGCGATGAGCTCACGAATCAGATGGCCCGTCTTGACGTCCCAGATCTTAACCCGTCCGTCGCTGCCGCCACTGACAACTCGAGCCTCATCAAACTGCAAAGACGTGACGCTGTTATCGTGGGCCGCCAGTCGGTGAATGGGGCACATGCGCTGGAGCGACCACACCCGGACGGAGCCGTCGGAGCCGCCGGTGACCAAGGTGTCGCCGCGCATCTGGAGTTGTCCCACAAGACTAGTGTGGCCCTGCAAAATGGCAAGACATTCGCTAGGTTCGTGTCAGCATACCGCCTCACAGTCCCCATTGGGCCAGATACTTACGCTGTGCGAGGATCCCAGATGCGGACGTTGGTGTCGAGACTGCCGGTGACGACCCGCTTGCCATCGAAAGCAATGGCGTAGATCTGGCTGAAATGTCCTTGCAATGTTTGGATACATCTGCCTTCCGAGATGCTCCAGACCTTCGCCATGGTATCGTAACTGCCGGATACAACAGTGTCTCCGTGGATCTCCAGACACCTGACGCTAGCACCGTGTCCGACCAGGACGTTTCTGCACAGGCCCGTCCGAATATCCCAAACTCTGAGTGTCGTATCGCGCGACCCTGAAATAGCCGTGTTGGCGTCCGACATTTTTAAGCATCGAACAGTTGACGTGTGACCCCGTAATGTGTGGGAACAGGCACTATACAAGTTAGTTGAGCAACACTCCAAAGCATGACGATTGGCTTACCCAGTTGTCAAATCCCACACTCGAACGTCACGATCACAACCGCCGCTGACCAGAATGTCGTCCCAGGGAACCATTGCCCACACGCCCATAACGTGTCCTTGCAAAGTCCGCAGTGCGTTTCCCTGCGCGTCGAAAACATGAATCTTGGCATTGTCTAGTGCAACGATGATGTACTTTGAGGTCAGGTGAAGACTCGTGACCACACCACCCTCTTGCGTGATGTTTCGGGTGATGTGCGTTCCACCGCTCCTCCAAGCCATTTCGACCTGGTGTTTCTGTTTGAAATGCGACCTATACGTTCTGATCCTCGGTCGTCGGTTCCCGGGGCTGCTGGTTTGCAGATCGTGGTGCGTGCTCGTTGTCGCCATCGACTCGCGGCGGCTGGGGCCTGCATGTGAATCGTGGTGTTGACGGGCGGCATGTGTGGGGCTCTGCTGTGTCGGGCTGTCTTCCTCTTCTGTGCTATAGTTGTGTTTGTCGCAGAGGTTCTTCCACGTAAGGTCATCCGAGAGGAGATCTCGCCATCGATTTGAGACTTGTGAGGCACGAGCGAGGACTTTCGGATCGTCGATGAAGGACAGAACCTACATGCGAGACAGGAAATTAGTCATGTGCTTTCGTCGGCACAAGGAGGGGCAAGGAGGAAGGTCTTCTTACCCGAAGACAGAGCTCATCAGGGAGACTGGTGAATGGATCCTTCTTTAACAGCGGGCTGACAAACTGGTGAACGAAGCTGAGCTGCTGACTCGTGCAGAGATTCAGCAGATCGCCGAGAATCCTCGTCCGCTGCGGTCCAGACGCGGCCTTGAAATGTTGGCGCACTTTTGCGAGGAAGAAATCTTCGTCATCGGCGGCATCGCTCCAGTCGAGTTGTCCATGAGAAGGGCCCGGAGAGGCTGCAGGGGTCGGCGGTGGCGGCGGAGACCCTGTGAGTTGCTGATCGTAGTCTGTGGCAGGCGTGGGCATGCTGGGTGTCGGGGGCCCGCGAATATGACCAAGTCGCTGTGGCATCTTGTCCGCACGCTCGCTCGGCCCCATGCCGTTGCTTGTGTTCAAGGTCAAATCTTCGCTCAGCTGGCTTCCTCGTCTCTCAGAGAAGCTCAATGGTCGACCGTAGCCTGCCATGTCGGAGACGATGGCTGTCGTGTCTGGTTGGGGGGGGGGGGCGTTGCTGAACCTCGGGTCGTAGGGACGTCGACCAAGAGATGTCGAGACTCTCTTCAAGGCGTAGAAGATTGGCGGGAAGAAGTAGAAGAACCTTTTACGGCAATGATGCACATTCCCAGGGCTAGGGAGGCTAAGTAAATGCGGAGAGCAGTTGGTATTGAAGGGTTCAAAATGACAGGCAGGGTTCGATGACGGTCGTTGGTGTCGCCTTGAGACTGCAAACGCCGCGCAGGGTGGCCGAGTCTTTCTAAATCGAGGGAAA